TTTCCGCCCCCCCCCCCCCACAGCCCCCCCCCAAATTTTGTTTTTGTTTGAGAAATCCGTTTGGGCCGGGGGAGCCATTGGATTTGGTACTTCTTCTCTCACTGCATATTTTTAGGCGGTCGTGAGGGCATCTAATTAAGTTTGCCATTTTCGGGGTGACCCCTTTTGCCCCTTCCTCTCATTTTTTTCTATTACTTTCTCTTCGCTTTTTTATTTTACTGACCGATTGGCACCGGCCCCCCATTCTTAATCACTGCCTTCCTCTTTTACTTGGGAAGTTGGCGAAACCCCTTTCCATTTTTCGGGGGGGGGGGAGTGGGTGGGGTTTTTTTTGGGGGGGGGCAGGGAAACCACTTTTTATAACCATAACTTTGCCAACCAACCGTTGTTCAATTTTATTTTTAATTCCTGCAAATTGGACGGAAAAATAATCCAAGTTAGACCCTGGGTCGGAGGATTTGGCACAGGCCCGAAATTTATTTTATAATTTAAAAAAAAAGAATTACCCAAATAAAAAAAAGGGGAGACTTTTTCCCCCCAGCTTCACCCCTATAATATATATATATATATATATATATATATATATATATATATATATATATATATATATATATATATATATATATATATATGTATATATATACATACACTCTGGCTACCTGTCCACCGGTACAAGGAATTACTTAGTATAATTTATCTTTACATAAGTCTACATTCAAAACTCATTTTCTAATACAATGTAATAGAGAAACTGTATCATGCTGAATATGATATTTAACCCCAGACTATATGAAGTTCACACAACGTAAAAAAATAATTCATTGTCGGCTGGGACAGGAAGCCAGAGTGTATTCATACACGTTTGGATTTTATCAAAGCCCCCTTCCAAGGCTGAATTACTGACTCTGCCCAGGATTTAACCCCACAACAAGCTGACTAACTCCTGAGTACCTATACTCACAGCTAGGTGAACAGATGCATTAACAGAAAGGAAATGTGCTCAACCATTTTTGTCCGGGATTCGAACCCAGAATTCTTGATTGTACGTCGAAAACGAACCCAACTGTTCTACCGGAACCCTTGATGGAATACCTCAAGAGTCACACATATGATGTAAATACATCAATGTAAATGTGTAATACACCCATACTACAATACTAACCAGTATTATTCCATATATTTTTCACTCTCCGTAGTATGTAAATAACCTCTTGAGGTTATCTTGAGATGATTTCGGGGCTTTTTAGTGTCCCCGCGGCCCGGTCCTCGACCAGGCCTCCACCCCCAGGAAGCAGCCCGTGACAGCTGACTAACACGCAGGTACCTATTTTACTGCTAGGTAACAGGGGCATAGGGTGAAAGAAACTCTGCCCACTGTTTCTCGCCGGCGCCTGGGATCGAACCCAGGACCACAGGATCACAAGTTAAGCGTGCTGTCCGCTCGGCTGACCGGCTCCCAAACTAACCTAACTGAAGATCTGCACCACTACATGTTCTTAAATAAATTAAATAAAGTATAGAATGAATATATACATAAATAGAGATCAACAACAACAACGTATTGTATTCTAGAGATACACATAAAAATATCACTGCTCTCACCCACGGAGAACGCCTCAACCACCGGCTGCACCGAATATTTCGTAGCTTTGTGGAGCTCCCAGGTCATTGTGGACGACCATGGGGGCTCCCAGGTCAGTGTGGACGACCATGGGGCTCCCAGGTCATTGTGGACGACCATGGGACTCCCAGGTCAGTGTGGACGACCATGGGGCTCCCAGGTCAGTGTGGACGACCATGGGGCTCCCAGGTCAGTGTGGACGGCCATGGGGCTCCCAGGTCAGTGTGGACGACCATGGGGGCTCCCAGGTCAGTGTGGACGACCATGGGGCTCCCAGGTCAGTGTGGACGACCATGGGGCTCCCAGTCAGTGTGGACGGCCATGGGGCTCCCAGGTCAGTGTGGACGACCATGGGGGCTCCCAGGTCAGTGTGGACGACCATGGGGCTCCCAGGTCAGTGTGGACGACCATGGGGCTCCCAGGTCAGTGTGGACGACCATGGGGCTCCCAGGTCAGTGTGGAGGGCCATGGGGCTCCCAGGTCAGTGTGGACGACCATGGGGGCTCCCAGGTCAGTGTGGACGACCATGGGGCTCCCAGGTCAGTGTGGACGACCATGGGGCTCCCAGGTCATTGTGGACGACCATGGGGCTCCCAGGTCAGTGTGGACGACCATGGGGGCTCCCAGGTCAGTGTGGACGACCATGGGGCTCCCAGGTCAGTGTGGACGACCATGGGGCTCCCAGGTCAGTGTGGACGACCATGGGGCTCCCAGGTCAGTGTGGAGGGCCATGGGGCTCCCAGGTCAGTGTGGACGACCATGGGGGCTCCCAGGTCAGTGTGGACGACCATGGGGCTCCCAGGTCAGTGTGGACGACCATGGGGCTCCCAGGTCATTGTGGACGACCATGGGGGCTCCCAGGTCAGTGTGGACGATCATGGGGCTCCCAGGTCAGTGTGGACGACCGTGGGGCTCCCAGGTCAGTGTGGACGACCATGGGGCTCCCAGGTCAGTGTGGACGACCATGGGGCTCCCAGGTCATTGTGGACGACCATGGGGCTCCCAGGTCAGTGTGGACGACCATGGGGGCTCCCAGGTCAGTGTGGACGACCATGGGGCTCCCAGGTCAGTGTGGAGGGCCATGGGGCTCCCAGGTCAGTGTGGACGACCATGGGGGCTCCCAGGTCAGTGTGGACGACCATGGGGCTCCCAGGTCAGTGTGGACGACCATGGGGCTCCCAGGTCATTGTGGACGACCATTGGGGCTCCCAGGTCAGTGTGGACGACCATGGGGCTCCCAGGTCAGTGTGGACGACCATGGGGCTCCCAGGGCAGTGTGGACGACCATGGGGCTCCCAGGTCAGTGTGGACGACCATGGGGCTCCCAGGTCATTGTGGACGACCATGGGGCTCCCAGGTCAGTGTGGACGACCATGGGGGCTCCCAGGTCAGTGTGGACGACCATGGGGCTCCCAGGTCATTGTGGACGACCATGGGGCTCCCAGGTCAGTGTGGACGACCATGGGGCTCCCAGGTCAGTGTGGAGGGCCATGGGGCTCCCAGGTCAGTGTGGACGACCATGGGGGCTCCCAGGTCAGTGTGGACGACCATGGGGCTCCCAGGTCAGTGTGGACGACCATGGGGCTCCCAGGTCATTGTGGACGACCATGGGGGCTCCCAGGTCAGTGTGGACGACCATGGGGCTCCCAGGTCAGTGTGGACGACCATGGGGCTCCCAGGTCAGTGTGGACGACCATGGGGCTCCCAGGTCAGTGTGGACGACCATGGGGCTCCCAGGTCAGTGTGGACGACCATGTGGTATCACAACATTACACTCGTCTGTGAATGTGAGCTTCACATACACCACACATTTAGTTATTGTGTGACATAATTATTGTGCATGTTATTGCCTGTCCCATTGACAGTGCCATTGTGACTTATTGCGCATCATCATTACCCGAGTATCCGGTTGGAACTCTTGTGATCCCTTTGCATACCGGCAGTTAGGTTGCCATGTTCATGATTGGCTGTCAATTGTGTTAAGTTAGGTGTTTCTCCACGAGTGGATCAGAATCGATTAGTTAGACGCCAAGAGTCTCGCTAATGCAACCATAGCCTTTCTGACGCCACTCTAAAGTAAATCAAGCACCCTTTGTATTAGTAGTTAAGTTTGCAAATAAACTACTGTTAAGTTTTATGTGGTGTTTGCATTGAACCAATTCTTAATACTGCCAACTATTTTACTTAAGCCTTCTGCTCCCGGTGTATTCAACACCGAGTTGCCTATTATTCACAAATCTATAAATGTGATAAGGACCCTAGGAGTCCCTTAAAGTGTTTCAAGCATTGAGGAGATTCCAACGATCAACGTGGATTAGGACCAGGTGAGGCTAGTCTGAGAAGAGACCCTCAAGGACTCTAACTCGACCTTGCTCCCAGGCCCTACACGGTTGCTCTTGTATTTTCTCTGCTGATTCCGACAGCTTTGTGAAGCGTCTGCCACATGTACATTTGACGTAACCATTGCAGTCGGGAAAGCAAAATAGAAAACCGTACATCCAGAATTGAATCTTTTCGTAGATAAATGTAATAGAACCCCATAAACATCACACCAGAAATAAGTATATCTTTGATATTCCCAATCAGACTAAATCTATGCAAACACGCCATAGAAATAAATGGAACTAATGTATGAAACGTCCTTCCTAATGAAGCACTTAATTTCATCACCTTAGCATCCCACCTTGTGCTAGAAACTCACCTAGTATTTTGCTATCTAGAAACGTAACTACGTCAATATGATTTCTATTATCGACACTTTACATTGATATAGTAATTCTGAAAATTCATATTCCGTCATTATATACCTGTCACTATATGTATTTTTTTCAAGACTGACTGTTTCATCTTCTATTATTAAATTCACTGAAAATTCTATGAATTGCTTTAGAACCTGTCGGAAATGCTATGCGTGTTAGTGGTTTTGGAGGTGTAACTGTGAGGTGGGGGAGAATGTACGACTGTGAGGCGGACGAGGCAGTGTGTGAAGCGGGCGAGGCAGTGTGTCTGTGAGGTGAGCGAAGCCACACACTGTACACCTAATGAGTCACGATATCACAAAATATAAAATTCCAGGCTCTTTCCTTGCGATTAACAATGCATAAACAACAGGGTTAAATTATTAGAATTTAATTTAAGAGTATTCGTGAAGGTGGTAAATACATAATTTCTTTACATATATCTCAAACATCCAAGATAATGTTATTGTCTTAACACGAATAATGACATTAATTTTTGGTCTGTATTAATGATCCTGGATAAAAATATTGATCCAGAGTAATGCATTGGATTGTATCTTGGATAATGAGTATAGTCGTGATCCAGCTAAATGGAAAGATTAAAATGTAAATAAAACATTGATATTAGCAGTAGTGTTTATAGTGGTAAAGACAATTTTATAAACAAAAGTATCACTAATATTAATAAAAATTATTTTATTACCAAGAATAGGTGAAAATCTATTCTAAAAAAATACAATTGAAAAATGTTGGAAGCAAAGACGCCTCCAAACTGTCTTGTTTGTCGATGAGATCGTTCCACTTAATGTTAAGGGTTGTGTAATCCCTAAATCATTTGTAAACAGGTGTTCAAAGAAATGTACAGTCCGAACTTAAGATGTTAGACAAAAATCAAGATAAAGTTGCGTATCCTATGAAAAGCAGAGTTAATGTAGTTGACGATTAAGTGTACAAGTAGACTCTGCAGTATAAGACGGGTGTCTCTGGTCGGCCTGTATTCTACAAAGATCAAAAATTGCAAAACAGTCCATTTAGCATCTCTACAAGGGCTTCCCCTTAAGAATAAACTATTATAAAGGCGGTGCGATATGTGTCAACTAGATACATGTGTCCATTGTATTGAACAAAACAGTTTTGATGCCCCAATCATCCCCAAATTCGTGTAAATATTTAACCCATTATGGAGACAGGTTGGCGACCAAGGCATTCCCTCACTTCAAGAAATTAAATAGCTTGTAATACACAATATAGAACAAACGAACTACAGAATCTCCTCGGTGATTACACATCACTGTGCATGAAAGTGTATTTCAAGCTCTCAAACCTCAAAGCAAACTCTGACTTGTGACACTCAAAACAAAAAAAGTAAAGTATATAAAAATAATAATAATTGTCGAGTCTTTATATGTAATTTGTTGTTAAAGATGTTCAAAATTAATAACTAATATTCCAAGTGCATTATAGTTCAAGCAGAATGACTTTTTTACAGGTTAGATTGGTGTTATTCCTGCATGTAATATTTCTGACGTTCCTAAGAGTATTGCTGACTGCACTCCTATTGAAAATGTTGATATAATTTATGTATAAAATATGAATGTTATCCATACAAGTAAAACTGATATAATTCCTGAAATTAGTACTCTTAGTTTTCTAGGTATAGTTTCGTGCCAATATTTTTAGGAAATATTCACCGACTGGTAGATGAACTGAGAACACAATTACCTTAGTAATATACAGAACGATATATATTGTGTTCATGTGTTCTGTGTGTTTATGAAAAACATGAAGATACTTCTACAGACAGGAAAATGATGAAATTTCCTTGGTGTTTATTTCTACAGGCAGGATCATGGTGAACTGTTCTGGGGTTTACTTATACAGGAAGAAGGATGACAAACTGTACCTGAGGTTCACGTCTACAGGCAAGAGGATATTAACCAGTCCCTGGGATTAACTTTTACATGCAGGGGAATGAAGTAATCTGTCCCTGGCGGTTACTTTTACAAGCAGGAGGATGATAAACTGTCCCAGGGGTTAATTCAGCTGGCAGAGGAAGTTGTATACCATGTCACAGGGATTGTCAGCAAGAAGGAAGTTACGGGAGAACTCGTTTTGCATACGGCAACATGCTTTGCCAAGGAGGTTAGGTTCGAAAGGAGCAAATTCTTTTGGTTCAGTATTTCGTCCGTTCAGCCAAAGGGTTTGCTGCACACCAACCCACACGTTCGTCACTGTAAGAATTGAGCCCAATAAAGATCGTGAAGAATTAATAACAAAAAACGAAAGTATATCTAATAAAAACCTGGAAATGTCTGTCGAAGAACATGGTTTAGACACAGGAATAATTTATATTAGTAAATTGGTGGGGCTTGATAAAACTACATGCAATTCGCCCGAAAAAAATGGTATAATAGGAGCTGCAAGCTTCGTGGATTTCTATTATTTATATCATGCAAGAGGGTGCACCTAGCGTCATTTTTTTCTTTATTTTCTTGCACAGATGTGGTCATATTTTTACAGTGGAAGCCAGCATATATACATATGCATTTCTGTCCTCCATGGGCAGGATTAGAGAGCTGTTCTACATATTGTTCAGTGGATTATTGAACACTGAATCACGGAGAGTGATTGAAGCGTTTTTACAATGCAAACCAGCTTTCATACATTTTCGTGCGTTCTATAGAGATTTGAGTAGAGAGGAGCCCAGCGTTGCTCCTGTGACTGGTGCCACATGACGTATGAACCACATAGAGGAAAATGAAGAAACCACGACATTTAGGTCCGTCCTGGACACTTAAGTCGCGTAAATGAGAGTGGAAGAGATAGACATCTTTACTATACATTATTTTCTTCAGCGTAACCATCTTTACTACACACAACCTACAACGTTGTAACCATCTTCACAACCCAGACCCTCTCTCCTCTTCCCTCCGGGTACCCTATTTATAAACATTATCGTCACCACCTTCTCTACCCTTCACCACCTTGTCTACCCTTCACCACCTTCTCTACCCTTCACCACCTTGTTTACCCTTCACCACCTTCTCTACCCTTCACCACCTTGTCTACCCTTCACCACCTTCTCTACCCTTCACCACCTTGTTTACCCTTCACCACCTTCTCTACCCTTCACCACCTTGTTTACACTTCACCACCTTCTCTACCCTTCACCACCTTGTCTACCCTTCACCACCTTCTCTACCCTTCACCACCTTGTTTACCCTTCACCACCTTCTCTACCCTTCACCACCTTCTCTACCCTTCACCACCTTCTCTACCCTTCATCACCTTCTCTACCATTTGTTACGAACAAGATATTTACATGATTTTCACAAATTTAAATGTATGTATAATTAAATATATGGAACTGTTATGTATATATATATATATATATATATATATATATATATATATATATATATATATATATATATATATATATATATATATATATATATATATATATATATATATATATATATATATATATATATATATATATATATATGAGAAATACTCACAGCAAACAGAGCATGGAAGATTATTCATGCAAACAGTTAAAACTAATGAGAGCAAACAGAATAATTTACAATCTACAAGAAATGAGAGGAGGAAGAATATTTTAATTTCAAAATTAATACGAGTTTATTTAAGAGATCGTTTATGATTAGTACATCCTAAATAAATAGAATTCTCCCCAGCAACCCACGTGAGGTGCCCACCCTCACTGTGAGGTGCCCACCCTCACTCTGAGGTGCCCACCCTCACTGTGAGGTGCCCACCCTCACTGTGAGGTGCCCACCCTCACTGTGAGGTGCCCACCCTCACTGTGAGGTGCCCACCCTCACTGTGAGGCGCCCTTCCTGTCTGTAAGGTCACTTACCCTGGTTTTCTAAGTGTGCCTGGAGTACTGCAGTGAATTTGATGAGTGAACTTTTTCCCTATTTTATAATACTCCTTTCCCTGTGCCTTTAATAAATACAATGCAAGCACTTTGTTCGTTTGTTCTCGCCAATTCAAAATATTGTGCCGGATCCGAGTGCTTTCTCTCTTGCTTGAAATGTTTATAATAAACATTTGTTCTATATTTCTGATTTAAAGTAACGTAAATATGCTGCAACTAGCCAGTAACTAGCTGGCTAGCGAAACTTGAACGTGGTGTCACTTCTTCCCCTCAGCTTAGGCTAGACCAAAAATTTGATACCTTGTGTATCCAGATTCCCCTTATTCTACACTTATGGAGGAAAGAATGTAGGCAAATGTATTTGAAATACAAATGAATGTATTACAAATTCTTGTAACATCTTCAAAATCTGAGAATCTTATTTCTAATACAAGTACAGGCCCACTTCACTCTGTATCTCGCTGGTTTACTGTATAAAATTGAAAACATTTCAAGTAATTATAAATTGGTGTACAGTAATATTCTTACAGGTACTGGTTTGGGTGTAATACGCAGCTAGACGCAGGAAGGCATCCGCTGTAGGCGCCACAAGCAGGTCTCCACCTAGACACTTACAGAACGATCGAGAGGCATCAAACGCCATCATAATGTTGGGCGGCAAAAGTAAGCGACCCAAATCCTCCAGTCCGGACACCACAGCGAAGGAATTACAGGGCTCTACGGGGAAGAAAATAAATGCAAATAAAAGATTTTCTCCAATGCAACAAATGCTTCAAGAATTAGGGCAGTAATATTTAATGCCTATATCAATGAAATAAACTGCCTGCCTGTTCAAGATTAAAAACCATTTGCTTAGGACTAACCCCACCTATCTCTGCATGTGATTGATTTGAGATGATGTGGGAAACAATCTGCATGTGATTGATGTGTCGAACGTTGACAGGTCAATGTTGACACAGTTGCTCCAAGTGCAACATTGCAAAATCTTACAGGAAACCAAATGAAGATTCTAGCAGTGACTACCCGCTTTCAATCGATTCGACCCACAGATCCTAAATAGAAACAATCATCTTGTCTCACTATATCATAAAATACCAAGCACTGTTCTCGCCAAAATTAAACAAAAAATTCTACTCGTCATAGTTTGCCCCTAGCAAGGAAGAACTTTTAATGTCGTTACTCAGACAACTACAATGCTCCACGGGCAGAATCAACATCTCACCTCTCTCCATACACACTTCCCTTCAACGGTTTCTGAACGTGTCCTAGACTTAATGAGAAGCACAGACCGGGGTAGACACACAAAGACTTAGAAACAGAGGCAGAAGCAGAGAAACAGAGAGTGCAGAGAGAGACAAGGGCAGGAAACCAGACAGACAGAAATAGATACCGAGACAGATACAAAAACAGGTTAAGAGACAGAGATATTGAAGCAGAGAAACAGACAGAGATATTGAACCAGAGAAACAGACACATAAAGAGACAGATAGAAACAGAGATGAGATATGTTGACATGCATTAGGGTTTCGCATATGTTCCCATCTATTAGCGTCATTTCTCACAACTTTTCTTGGATACTTTTTTGAAGTAAAGCGAATCAATGTACTTAATCTAATCTAATTTTACTCTGATATCATGCGATTTGATTGTACCTGTTGATACAAGCATATATGTGCTGTAAATATCTATTTTATTCGGTTGTATTAATACACACCTGCATTACTACATATCCTAATTCATAGCACCTGAATTACATATATATCTCCTGATATCTAACATCTGCATTACATAAATCTTTCGATACCGAACACCTGCATTTCGTACATCTCCTGATGCCTAATACTTACATTATATGCATCTCCTAATACCTAACACCTGCATTACATACATCATCTCAAACCTATCACCAGCATTTTATACATTAGCTTATACCTAACACCTATTCTATACATATCAGCTCATATATAAGAGTTGCATTATATACATTACCTCCTATGGCGGTTCTAACTAACACCCCTGGTGGTTCTAGCATTTCTTGTTGCTCTAGGAAATCTGGTGGTTTTAGGACACTAACAAACACTAGAAACACAAACATTTCTGATTCACAAACATGCATTTCAGAGACAAAAAAATCATACACACAAGTGACAAAAACTTCGAACGCACGAACAATTAAGACAAACACATCAGACACGTAAACTCTCCGGATGCAAAAACATTCCAAACACACAAAACACTGACGTAGAAAAGAGAATGGAACGTTGGCCACTCAGTACATGGACTTACGTGGAGGGAGGCCCATGTAGCAGATGTTAGTAACGTTCAAGCATCCTTCAATGGTCCAATTAACTTGCAAATCATGGAGGTTACATATCCCGTTGCTGTAGCAGAAAATTCCACCTGGAAAAGCCAGGCTGGCAAGTTCTGCACACTGCAGCAAACTTACTGAAGCATTTTGCAGGACAGCGTGGCCGGGATCATTAAGTGTGGCGTTAGGCACGCTTAAACTATACCAAGTTGATCCTTGGGTACTCTGAGTGCTTGAGATGACCCCATAAAGGGCAGTGAGGAGGAGCAGAAGAGCTATGGGGAGCAGGTGCCCCATGTTGGCTTCCAGACGAGCGTCCTCTCCTTGCTGAGGCCAGCCAGGAACTGCTCGTGATGGCATGAAGTCGACTCACACAGTCAGTTCCATTTTCTTTATAAATGTTTCCTAATAAACGTAAGGACTGTAAAGCTGCCGCTTTACAGTCCTTTACAGTCGTATGTTAAGATGCTTATCTTAACATACTAAGAAGGTTAGGTGAGGTTGGTATTTTCTATGAAGCTTTTCAAGGTAAACTAAAATATTCACAATCAATTAGTATGTCACATATGCACTTATTAAATAAGCCAATATTGACTATAAGCAAGTGCGAGAACGGGTTGCACGCCCTACGGCTCCCTCACCAGGAAAGGGTGGAAGGACACATGTGGTGTGGTCAAGAGATTGGGTCACCAGTGTGCCAATAAGTGCTTGAAAAAGATAAGTTGAGTCCAGTCCTGTGGTGAATGGACCATTGTGAGTATCGTGTTGAGAGCACCACACCCAGTGAGCCACGACACATTCACCAGTGTTTAGTGACAAAAGGAAACTATCCAAGTGTTAAGTGCCACCCCAACCCTCCCCCCCACCCCATGTAATGCCTCTCCCCCCCCCCTCCCCCCAAGTGAGTGTAGTGTCTCCTGCTCCCCCACTCCACTTGTGTAGTGTCTCCCCCCCCCCCCCCTCCGTGTGGTGCAGTGTCTCCAGCTCCCCCGCCCCCACCTCCCACGATCAGGTGGTCGAGCCTTCCCCTCCCCGGCCCCCCTCCCACACCGGGCCAGCGCAGCCTCCCAACCCCCACCTCCACGAGCCCACCCACCCCAGACATCTGCCCAGACATGACGCATAGTATTTTTTTTTTTTTTGAGATATATACAAGAGTTGTTACATTCTTGTACAGCCACTAGTACGCGTAGCGTTTCGGGCAAGTCCTTAATCCTATGGTCCCTGGAATACGATCCCCTGCCGCGAAGAACCGTTTTTTCATCCAAGTACACATTTTACTGTTGCGTTAAACAGAGGCTACAGTTAAGGAATTGCGCCCAGTAAATCCTCCCCGGCCAGGATACGAACCCATGACATAGCGCTCGCGGAACGCCAGGCGAGTGTCTTACCACTACACCACGGAGACTGCCGTGGTGTATAGGGGACAACCTGGTCCCCCCCAGCCAGGAGGGAGAGACAAATACTCCAGTGCAAGGTGACAGTCACTTCACCTAAGGGGATGGCAGAAGAGGCCGCTACCAGCCAGCTCACCCCTCCCGAAGCCAATCAAAGGAGAGGCACATGCAGTGTTTGTGGGAGCAACATCAGCATCAACTCGGTCTCCAGAGTCATACGCCAGCATGGTGACTGTCCTGGGTCAGGGAGGCCTCCCGTGGGAGGAGGCAGCACTCAGGAGCCTGTTGCACCAGTACAAATCGCAATAGATTACATTGCAACAGACGACCTGCTAGAGGCAATTAAAGCAACGTCAACCAGGACACTCACCCACATCCCAAAGGCCTCTCGCCCATTTGCTGCCGGGAAATACACGGACCTCATCGCAAAAGTCAACAGAGGGTCAAATAACCTTGATGCACCTGATACCATCAAAGCCTGGTACAATCTGTTACTTTTTGGCAACGCATGCTTAGGTGTACCAGACAGAGGAGGCAAGACACTGGCCTCATCCGTCAATATAGCAATTAGGGATTTTCCTAGGGCTGACAACCTAGTCCGCCTCCCCAAACACACCAAACACCGCCGAGGCAGACCAAGTACGACAATCAGCGACAACACAAAATTAGGTACCCAAGTCAGCAAGAAAATTGAAGAGGGCAATACAGTCGGGGCACTCAGGTTGATCACAAGTGAGGACAAAATTTTGCCCCAGGGATGAAACCACAGCCCAAGCACTGAGAGAAAAACTCCCCCTAAGAGCCGTAGGTGGACTCACCCCACTGGTCAGGGTCCCCCCTAACCAGGAACCTCTCGTTCTCCGGGAGTCAGAGGTTTATAAAGCTATCGTTCCATTTCCCCCAGACTCCTCAGGAGGCTACACAGGGGTAAGACCTCAACATGTGAAGGAAATGGTGAACCCTGTTCTTGCCCAGCTGCAGAAGCGCTCCTGACAGAAATCACAACGTTTGTCAGCAACTGCCTCGCCGGGTTAATCCCTGATGAAATCAAATCATTCTTCTTTGGTGCATCCCTATGTGCCCTGAAAAAGAAGGGGGAGGGATCAGACCTATTGCCGTTGGTAATACCCTTCGGCGCCTAGTTGCAAGGGCTGCTGTCAGAAGTATCCGAATGGAAGCAGCCACCATGCTGCAACCCAACCAGCTGGGGTTTGGAGTCCCCGAAGGCTGTGAAGCAGCTGCCCATGCTGCACAGCCTACATTAGCTCTCTTACTGAAGACCAGGCAGTAGTAAAATTAGTGTCTGTGAGGCGGGCGAGGCAGTATGTCTGTGAGGCGGGCGAGGCAGTATGTCTGTGAGGCGGGCGAGGCAGTATGTCTATGAGGCGGGCGAGGCAGTATGTCTGTGAGGCGGGCGAGGCAGTATGTCTGTGAGGCGGGCGAGGCAGTATGTCTGTGAGGCGGGCGAGGCAGTGTGTCTGTAAGGCTGACCAGGCAGTGTGTCTGAGAGGTGAGCGAGGCCACACACTGTACACCTAATGAGTCACGATATCACAAAATATAAAGTTCAAAATTAAACATGAACAAATTCGAGGGCGATAGATCTGATACAATATGTAAATTGTTTAAAGAGTACACACAGATGCGTGATATCTTGAACACGCTGGTTTTCCTGCACTCTACCTAAGATTACTAGGTGGAGTTATATCTGCCTCTTACTGTGATATATATATATATATATATATATATATATATATATATATATATATATATATATATATATATATATATATATATATATATATATATATACATTATACTTTATTATATATCGTATCTTATTATATTCTTCTATTTCAGAATGGATTTACATTTTAATCTATGAGATTTTTAGAATATAATTTAAGTATTCGTGAAGGTGGTAAATGCATAGTTTCTTTACATATATCTCAAACATCCAAGATAATGTTATTGTCTTAACACGAATAATGACATTAATTTTTGGTCTGTATTAATGATCCTGGATAAAAATCTTGATCCAGAGTAATGCATTGGATTTGATCTTGGATAATGAGTATAGTCGTGATCCAGCTAAGTGGAAAGATTAAAATGTAAATAAAACATTGATATTAGCAGTAGTGTTTATAGTGGTAAAGACAATTTTATAAACAAAAGTATCACTAATATTAATAAAAATTATTTTATTACCAAGAATAGGTGAAAATCTATTCTAAAAAAAATACAATTGAAAAATTTTGGAGGCAAAGACGCCTACAAACTAATATTTGTCGACGAGATCGCTACATTTGAATGTTAAGGGTTGTGTGATCCCTAAATCATGTGTACACAGGTGTTCAAAAAAGTGTACAGTCCGAACTTAAGATGTTTGACAAAAATCATGATAAAGTTGCGTATCCAATGAAAAGCAGAGTTAATGTAGTTGACGATTTAGTGTACAAGTAGACTCTGCAGTATATGACGGCTGTGTCTGGTCTGCGTGTATTCTACAAAGATCAAAAATTGCAAAATGATCCATTTAGCTTCTCTACAAGGGCTTCCCCTTAAGAATAAACTATTATAAAGGCGGTGCGATATGAGACAACTAGATACATGTGTCCATTGCATTGAACAGAACAGTTTTGATGCCCCAATCATCCCCAAATTCGTGTAAATGTTTAACCCATTATGGAGACAGGTTGGCGACCAAGGCATACCCTCACTTCAAGAAATTAAATAGCTTGTAATTCACAATATAGAACAAACGAACTACAGAATCTCTTCGGTGATTACACATCACTGTGCATGAAAGTGTATTTCAAGCTCTCAAACCTCAAAGCAAACTCTGACTTGTGACACTTAAACAAAATAAGTGAAGTATACAAAGAAAGTGAAATATACAAAAATAATAATAATTTTCTAATCTTTATATGTAATTTGTTGTTAAAGATGTTCAAAATTAGTAACCAATATTCCAAGTGCATTATTGTTCAAGCAGAATGACTTTTTTACAGATTAGATTGGTGTTATTCCTTCATGTAATATTTATGACGTTCCTAAGAGTATTGCTGACTGTATTACCATTAAAAATGTTGATATAATTTATGTATAAATTATGAATGTAATCAATGCAAGTTAAACTGATAACATTCCTGCAGGTACACAGATAAAACACATTAACCTGATATATCAACTTCGTAGTCCTGGAAATAGTACTGTTAGTTTTCTAGGTATAGTTTCGTGACAATATTTTTAGGTAATGTTCACCGACTGGTAGATGAACTGAGAACATAATTACATTAGTAATATGTAGGACGATGGATGAAGCACAAAGAACACATCCAGGAACTTCTACAGGCAGGAGGATGAAGAACTGTACCTGAGGTTTACTTCTACAGATATGAGAATGAATGTCTGTACCAGGGGTTTACTTCTATAGGCATGAGGATGAAAACCTGCACCAGAGGTGTACATCAACAGGCAAGAGGATAATGACCTTTCCCTGGGGCTAATTGACCTGGCAGAGAAAGTTCATCAAGGTGGTGCAACTTGTGTCAGCAAGACGGAAATAAGCGCTCCCGGAGTTTTTCATACGGCAGCAGGTTCTGCCAGTGTTGTCGGGATCAGGAGGAGAATATTCCCTCATTTCAGCATTTCGTCCGTCCAACCAAATGTTTTGTTCCACTCCAACCCACACGTCAGTCACTGTCAGAATTGAACCCAATAAAGAGAATTAAGTATTAATGAACAAAATATGAAAGTATATCTAATAAAAACCTGGAGATGCCTGTCAACGAACATGGTCTAGTCACAGGAATAATTTATATTAGTCAATTAGTGTGGCTTGATAAAACACTACATGGAATTCGTCCGAAAAAATGGGATACTGGGAGCGTGCAAGCTCTGTGGATTTTAATTATTTGTAGCATA